TGTTTCCATTATCTGTTTGATTGTTTTTCCTTGGTTTTCTAGGGTATCATTCACTGATTTATTCAATTCTTCAAACTTTCTGTTATATTTCTCATCCATTTCTATAACGGCGTTTTTTACATGCTGTTTAAGGGTGTCAATCACTTTCATGAAGTCAATCTTTTCTCCTTCCTCTTGATTAAGGGGTTCTTGTCCTCCCGTTGTGAGGTCGCTTGTTTCTGGTAGCTTCATGTTGCTTTTCAGCTTGTTGGGCGAATTCTTGCCTTGACGTCGGCCCATCTCTTCTTCCAAATGCTCCCTATGGATCTTCTTTTACCGGATTAGGTCTCCTTGCCTACCAAACGCTGTCTCTCCCCAATGTTGGCTCTCCCAATGCTGGGTCTCCTGGCACCGAAAGATCAGGCCTCCGTGCTGGTTGGGCAGCTCGCAGACAAAGCGCCTACCCAGCTTGGTGCAGGCAGGCCACAGAAACAAAGGAACTGCTGTCCGCCCGGGAGCCCCGGATACTCGGACCCTGAGCCCAGATAGGCTGGGCTGGGCGATGCCACGCGCCTAAAGAGGACAGTGGGGGCGCAGTGGGGAGGGCTCTGGACGGAAGCTGGGTGGGCCAGGAAGAAAGAGGCCGCAGAGAGCCCAAGCAGGACAGGGGGCCAAAAAACCCCCGAGCTCCCCGTCCCAGGCTGGCGCCGTGGGCCAGAAACTCACCCCAATGCTGTGTCTCCTGGTGCCGAAAGATCAGGCCTCCGTGCTGGTTGGGCAGCTCGCAGACAAAGCGCCTACCCCGCTTGGTGCAGGCAGGCCACAGAAACCAAGGAACCGCTGCCCCCCGGGAGCCCCGGCTACTCGGACTCAGCGCCCAGATAAGCTGGGCGATGCCACGCGCCAAAAGAGGACAGTGGGGGCGAAGTGGGGAGGGCTCTGGACGGAAGCTGGGTGGGCCAGGAAGAAAGAGGCAGCACCCGGGGAGTAGAGGCCCTGCAGAGAGCCCAAGCAGGACAGGGGGCCAAGAAACCCCCGAGCTCCCCGTCCCAGGCTGGCGCCGTGGGCCAGAAACTCACCCCAATGCTGGGTCTCCTGGCGCCGAAAGATCAGGCCTCCGTGCTGGTTGGGCAGCTCGCAGACAAAGCGCCTACCCCGCTTGGTGCAGGCAGGCCACAGAAACAAAGGAACCGCTGCCCCCCGGGAGCCCCGGCTACTCCTGGTATTCATTTCTTGTTCATTCTTTGTCAAATATTGTCTTAATAATATGAGACATAATGATCATAACCATATTGATTATAGATTGCCATAAGCTGAAAAACAGATTCATGAAGAGCTAATCAGTTTTCCAAGTTAGTTATCTAGGAAATGCCAATATGGCACTCAGATCAAGGAAATCTATTCACAGAATTGTGACCTGTAAAACACAGATCCAATAGTGTCATGATGTATAATACCTGTAGACTAAGGTTGTCTATGAAACTTGGAATAGTATAACAATTCTTGAACTCAATAAGAATTTCAAGGTTTAACAGAGTTCTTATAACAACTGAAGTATACTGAATATCTAAATTCAGTATCAAGATTGCAAATAGTTAGGGACCATTTTGCAAGGAGCATCTCCAAGTGTCAACAGTCACAGTGCTTGGCACCTGAGGAAAATGTATGGATTTTCCAGAGAGATCATTCTATGCCTACAGTGTGAACCTCAAACTTTATGTACCAAGATGGATGCTTCCTCTTACATTTGTGTTACATTAGAAGAGCATGGAAAGGTTTTTTAAAGGCAAGACTATGTTTAAATAAGTTTTTTTTTCTTAGACCTGTAGAAAACCATTTTGTTCTTATTATTTCAAAAGCAAAGATGACTTTTGTTTTCTCCATTTCTTTTCTACAATCACTATTTATTTAATGTCTTATAAAGCAAAGCATCGGAAAACCAAGTTTAACTAATTTTTCTGAAATTTAATATTTCAAAAATGTTTTAAAAACCAGTTACTTGCCGGGCAGTGGTGGCGCACGCCTTTAATCCCAGCACTTGGGAGGCAGAGGCGGGTGGATCTCTGTGAGTTCGAGACCAGCCTGGTCTACAAGAGCTAGTTCTAGGACAGGCTCCAAAACCACATAAAAACCCTGCCTCGAAAAACCAAAAAAAAAAAAAAAAAACAGTTACTTATCTTGCATAGAAAGTGAGATAAGTAATAATGTTAATATGTTTTTATCTAAAGTCACATCTATATATGAGTAATAATATGAATTTATATTATTTCCATATTATGTATATATATATATATATATCTTTTATTTATTTATTTATTTTGGCTTCTACATGTGACTCAAAGAAGTTGCAATGATACCTGACTGAGTTTTTAAGCAAACTGGTCATATACCCTGAAGGACTGTCAGAAAAGTTGACATTTTTATTTTTATTTATTTATTTATTTATTTATTTTATTTTTTTGGTTTTTTTTTTTTTTTTTTCCGAGACAGGGTTTCTCTGTGGTTTTGGAGCCTGTCCTGGAACTAGCTCTTGTAGACCAGGCTGGTCTCGAACTCACAGAGATCCGCCTGCCTCTGCCTCCCAAGTGCTGGGATTAAAGGCGTGCGCCACCACCGCCCGGCTTAAAGTTGACATTTTTAAACAATTCTTATGAGTCAAGAATAGTTCTCAGTGTTTAATTCAAAATATCTTGTTTAATCTCCAGTTTTTATATGAAAGCTTGATGCATGGGGCTTTAAGAAATTGTCTAAATGAATGCGGCTAGCAGCAACTATTACAGACAACGAAAGCCAAGGATACTTTTATGAACACATATTGACAGATGCTTTTATATATTGATGGATAATGGACAAAAACATGCAATATTTAGAATGTTTTTAAGCTAACATAATTCACATGGGTTTTATTGAAAGCAAAGTAACATTTTGAAATGTAACATACTGAAAGCAAATGTAACATTGCTTCCCATGTTTCAATTAATATATGAACTGTACAGATGCATTTATTTATTTCATTGTGTGATTAAGTATTAATTCATAAATCAAACATGTGTTTTTCAGAGTTCCTGGTGTCTGTTGAGTTTATAAGTATTTTTTGTTCATAAGAGGTTATTAAACAGAGGAAAGAGAAAGATACATGTATACTTTAGGGAAATATTATTAAAAATAAATATCTCATAGGGAAATGGAGACATTCATCTGTAAATAACAATATGCCGTCAGAAGAAACATTTTGTTTTTAAGAGGTATGAAGAAACCATCAATACATTGTTAGTGTCATGCCAATATTCCCAACTTGAGTATTTCCTTATTTTTACATTGTGCTTATTTTGAGTAGTTTAGACTCCTTGCTGAAATGTTGAGCACTAAACTCTTGATAAACTTAAAACAAAGACTACTTAGAATCAGCCTTTGTTTAAGAACAGTATACAGTGAAAAAGATGGATCCATCTAAAGTAATGAGAACAGAAAAGGCTGCAAAGAAACGTTATTAAGTGGGGCATGAAGCAAAGCTATTTCATCACTCTTGACTAGAGGGCAGATAAGTATGAATTCAAATGAGATTTCTTTGGGGTTAGAGATTTTAACAATAGGGATGATGATCAAAGCAGGACAAAAGTATTCTGTCATGATTTTTCATCATCAGACCAATTCAAACTTCCATTTTTCATGAAATTCCCCATTAAAACCATATGTTTCATATTCACCTTCCCTAACAACTATTGTGATTTTTCAAGTGGTGAAAGACACACTGAAAAGCACTGATGACTGAAAGAGAATTGGTAACCACATTGTTCAGTAGATAATAGGAATACTCTACAATTGTGACCAAAGTGATAAAAATTGTTGATCTGAGTATTTTGAAGGATATCCTCATTACATGAGAATGATCAGTTAGCATACAAGCTGCAGAGTAAGACTTTTCTTCTAATAAAATATGACATAACACTAGTTTTCAGTCTTTTAATACATTCACCACAATGCTGATCATGTGAAGTTCTTTCATAGGATATTTGTATATAACAGTAAATGGTTATTTAGCACATCAGACAAAATAAACATGATTTATTCTTAGTACTAACAATCTGGGAATGGTATATGCTTTTGCTTGCCAACATTATATTATTATTGGGACATACAGCATCACTAAGACAATATCTCACCAGAGGGTAAGTATTACCTTATATTTATCTGCCTTAGGACTTCTCGTCTCTGTAAGTCACAGAGGCTAGGGATGTGAGTGAGAAAATGAAATCCCAGTATGCAGAGGTTGTGAAAAATATAGAGAGAACCTCAGAATGGGGAAGGAGAAACATTGAGTAGAACAGATTTAAAAGAAATAGTACATAATGGGTACAAAGAATAAGAATGTCAAATCTCTAGTTTAGAGGAATTTTCAAAATCAGTCTGAGTTGCTCTTTCATGGATGATCAAAATACTCATCATAACTAACTGTAGGGGTTTGGATGAAAATGGCCCCTATACGGAGTGGCAGTATTAGGAGTTGCATTTTTGGAATAGGTATGGCATTGTTGGAGGAATTTTGTCACTGTGGGGATGAGCTTTCAGGTCTCCTTTGCTCAGTCTGCATTCAGTGTGATGCACAGTTGCTCCTGCTGCCCGTGGAACAAGATGTTCCTTCTCAAGCACCATGTATGCCCACATGCCATCCTCCATGATGATAATAAACTAAACCTCTGAAACTGTAAGCTAGTCCCAATTAATGTTTCCTTTATAAGTGTTGTATTGGTCATGGTGTCCCTTCGTAATAAAAGAAGTCCTAACTAAGACACTTGGACAACTTCATAGGAGACAGAAGGCTCATTATTCATCAGTTAGCTGAATGTATGATGTCACAAAATGTCAGGATTGTTCCATATGGAAAAAAGTTATTTTTTTTTTGGTAAAGTGACAAATTATGACTGTTAATATGATACTACGGGAATAGAAATGTCATTTATGCAGTCCCTTTTAATTTAAACTAAAATAACAATTATTAAAATATTTAGATGTGTACTTACCCAACAGACAGGAATGGCTCCTTTGATTCAAGCCTATAAAATATGAAAACTTCATTTTAATATAATAGCTATATATTCAAACTTTGATTTTATATGGATTTGGTAAAATATTGTACTGCTTGGACAGAAATGTGTGTACGGCAGAAAAATTATATGCATATATACACACATATATGAGTAATATTTATTATATAGTATATGTTATAATATGTGCTATATATGTGTTATATATATGCATATGTGTGTATGTATATGCCTATTATAGCAAAGCTACATGTTATTGTCCTAGTTGGATTTGACGCAGTTAAGTAAAGTCAAAGCCTCAGAATGGGAATACAACTTTTATAGACAGTATTACAGTGAAAGTTAGAGTCTAATTCTTAGGTGTACTCCATATCCAGTTATGTTAATAGTGACCATTTGATTCTAGATGTTTTACTATATCTACAATTAATTGTAAGAGTAGAGATATCTATAGTGCATTTTCTTGGATATTTGCTCGGTGATTGATTCTCAGGGGATATATTCTGCAGTGACAAGGGAGGAGAAGTGTCACACTCAATCATTTGCTAGGAGTAAGACCCTCGAGAAAGAATAGTGCTATGTCATAGATTAGGGTCCTTTCTCCCAGTATCTGCCTGTTTCCTGTTTCTGCAAAAAGTCCAAATGTGGTATCTAATATGGAAAGGCTGTTTGGATGTGACATCTCCAGAAATCTACTTTAAAGGCCTTTGCAGCTCACTTTTCTAACTATAAAAAGGTACAGAACTGATTCCAGCTAATTTTCTGATTCCACATGATATCTCCACATTCTTTATAACAAGTCAGTTTTTAGGCAATTCTGAAACAATATTCAAGGAGATTTAAGACAGGTGTGTATTTTTCTTATATATTTCTTATGCAATTAAGGGCCAAATTAGGCCAATATTGATAAGTTTTAACTAAATACAGACATTTCATGTTTAAATGCTTGAAAGCTAGTGAACAACCACTGGTGTCATTACTCAGGAGCCTTCCATTTCTTTTTCTTTTCTTTTTTTTTTTTTGAGACAAGGTCCATCATTGGCAGAGAACTTAATGAGAAGACTAGACTGACAGGCCAACAAACTTCAGGATCATTTTTGTGCACTGGAACACACTGAAGAGTTGGAGCAAAGACTATGTGTTCACAGTTTTGCAGCATTTTCTTCAGTATTTTATAGAAAAATATTTCAATGTATACTTTTTATTTACTCATGCTATGTAATAATCTCTCTAGAATGAAATGGAAACAACTTTTTTAAAGAAATATGCATGCTACTTTGAATATACAGCAAGATTTCTCCCTGACTTAGAAATTCATAATAATTTGATTTTTTTGTATATTAGCATTTCAGCTTCTGTCCTAGTGACAATTTCTTCTGAGCTACCACTTTCATATCACCAAATCTCTTCAAATTTTTCACGACCACTGAATGATAACTTCTCAAGCATGCACCCACCGTGCCTCAGGTGTCAGCCTCCCCAACCCTCTTCCTACTAAACAATATACCCAAGGTTAGAGTTTACTTGTTGCTCAGACAAGCACACTTCATGTTTTTTTTGGTGCCTTTGATATTCGAGTTTTCTAGTAAAATTCATTTACAATATCTTACCTGATCAATAATGAGTAAAACTTATCTCAACCTAACTTATTTTAGCACTCATATTTCTGAGTTTGTAATACCAACAGTTATCACTAGCACACAGTCATGGAGATTTCAGCTGAGTGGTGCTGTAGGAAAATCCTACAGCCAGTAGCCTACAAGTTACCTGCACACTGGGACATAGCCTCATTATACTATTTATGCCCTGTAAAGTATGCCTCTGATCTCTTTTCCAGGTGTGGGATTTGGTTTCTGCTTTCTGTTCCAGCAGAGAATTCTGATTTGTGAGTCAATCTCTAAGTAAATAATCATCTATTATTCTAAATTCTGAGCTAGTGTGGGATTTCTTTTAAGCATCCTTCTTCATCTGGCACCCAATGTGGGACACATACATTTAAACTCGTGTGTGTGTGTGTGTGTGTGTGTGTGTGTGTGTGTGTATGAATATACAGAGTTGGTTGGTTTTGGAGTTGGCAATGTCTCTGTCCTTCTCTCCATCTGGGCATGTTGTTAAAAGAAAAATTCAGAGTTTCTGTCTTAAGTCAAGAGCCATCTGGTATGGGACAGAATGAAAAAAGAATTTAGAAAAAAAATTACTTCTCTTTATATCTTTTTTGTCTCTATCACACCTTTCATTGAATATATATGCCTGTATATCTATATATAAATAATATTTAAGTTTTCCACAATGAACAATGAATTTTCCTGCAGTAATCTTTGAAGTTTCCAGGAACAAGATGGAGCCCCACAACAACAACTCCTCCTGGTAGATATGACATCATGATGCTGATAGTGCTACTATAAGACCTGTTTTTGGGTACCAGCTCCTCGAGATGGTTCCAACTTTGTGCACGTTTTTTTTTTTACAACATCCTGGCCAGAAATCCAAATAAGAACCTCAGAAAAACTTTACCAAATAATCAGAGACTATTTGCAATTATACAAGACAGTAATCTTGGAACTTAGCCATCATTTTACTTTCACAGGATCCCATAGGGGAAAAAAAAAACATCACCCCCATGACAGCTGGAAGTAATTCTAGAAGATGATGTTCCCTCTCCCAACAAAGTTTTACCTCAGGGTTAGGGGTATCATTTAGGGAATGATTATAATTGGTATAGGGTTGGGGGCTGGAGGAGGAAATTTTGTAGGCTCAGGAATCTCTTTTAAAAAATAAAGGAAATATTGGATGTGATAATAGATTAGTGTAAACTTACTCACATTAATAATAATAGTGAGTAATAGAGTGAATATTTGTGAGCCATTATTTATAGACAATTTACATTGGTATAGATTCTTGTATATTGATAATAACTTAATTATATTGAATATGTTCCTATTTTCATCCACCATATTTGTATATCTAGGCAAAGTTATTTTGTCATATCATATGCATGCATGCTTCTACCTCTGCTTAAACCATTTTTGTATATTAAAATAATTTTAGGATATATTTATCATATTTCAATGTCTATTTCTACCTCTGATCAAGATAGTTATATACTGTTTATATTTTTGAGGTCATTGTCCTCATTTGTTGCACAGTTGTTACTGTATAATATTCTAATATGAAGTCTTAGTCTTTAAGTTATATAGGTATTAAGAATTATAGATCAATAGTCATCTATGTTTGCTAAACTTATAGTTAGATTAAGCAGGTTCTTTAGATACATAGAGATTGTATTCTGCACATATAGGTAATCTTCAACCACTTCAAAGAGCTCTAGAATATGGCATTTAAATAACTTTGGGTTCTGTTGAAGTGAGACATGATTGCTCCTGTCAGTACTGATCTATTCCCCAGAGATTGTTGAGCACCAAAGACACTCCACTTGGAGGTTATTTTCTTCTTGGCAAAATTGGCTTTTGGACAAGGAACTGCCCATGCCTCAACCACTGACATGGAATCCAGAAATGTATAAGCAGGACTGTCAAATCTTGCCAAGACAGGGTAAGATGTTTTAAAAAATTTCCTGCCTCTGAAAATGGCCTGTCAGTTACTGTAGGCCCTACCCAAAGTTGGTTGCTTCAGTGATGCAAATGAGACTTTGGGTGATTGCCTAGGTTGCCAGTTGTCTCTGTCATTTGTTGCACATTTTTGAAGTTGCTTGACTGCACTTCCCGCTTACTCAAGTAATATTATTTCCCTTGTCAGATCTTCAATGGGGTTGAAGACTAAATAGTTGTAGTTACTTTTCTCTCATGACTTGGCCAAGTTATAATATATATAAGACTTAAACTCATGTGATAGGATAATTATTGAATATATTTGCTCTTATTGTGTATAATTTTGCAATAGGCTTAGAACTCTCTTATTTAAAAAAGGGGGAGGTGCTGTAGGAAAGTCCTATAGCCAGTAGCCTTTAAGTTACCTGCCCACTGGGACTTGGCCTCTTATACTGTTTTTGCCCATGTAAAGCATGTATCCACTCTCTTCTGGCTGTGGAATTCAGTTTCTGTTTCTGTTCCAGCAGAGGATTCTGACTTGTGAGTCTACCCCTAAATAAATAACCATCTATTATTCTCAATTCTGAGATGGGATTTCTTTTAAGCATCCTTCTACAGAGAAAAGAGACTGGTTGCAGTTTAAAGCTCATCTTTCTGTGTTAATATGGTTTATGAACCAAACAGGAAAGATGATATTGGCTATTAGTTATGCTAAGTCTTAGAGGTTATCTTTCATATGCATAGAGGGTACAATGAAGATTTCTAAGCATCTTCATAGTAAAGCAGAACAAGAAATTGTAAGAAGAAATGTACCTAAGCAGTGTAACACACCTCCTAAATGACAGCACTGCCAAAGAATGTCACAACAGTCCATGATGAATGGTTCTCTGTTTGATGCCACATATTCAGTTTAGGCTCATAATTTTGATTCAATGTCTCCAGTCTTGCATTGTCAGAAATACTGTCCATGCTCATGGTGCCCAATTATATGGCATATACCTTTAAGAATTTAAGGTGCAACTGTGAAAATAGAAAATTGTTTGCTTAGAGCAGCTTACACAGTTTCTAGCACTGACTGGATGCTGTAGGAGGAGACTGCTTGTTAGGTTCCTGGTTGTCCAGACCCAAATAATCACACAGAAACTTTATTAATTACAACACTGTTTGGCCAACAGTTCAGTCATATTTCTAGCTAGCTCTTAAATTAACCTTTTTCTATTATTTTGTATTTTACCATGAGGTTCATGGTTTGTTACCTCTTACTTCTTGGGAAACTACATGATGTCTGCCTCCTTTGGCAGCTACATGGCCTCTCCTTGACTCCACCTACTGTCTTTTTATATCTCTTCCAGTATGGCTTTACTCTGCTAAGCCATAGGCCCAAAAAGTTTTAGTCATTAACCAATAAAAGCAATACATATACAGAAGGACATTCCACATCAGGATGCTAAAGAGAGACCA